AGAGCCAAGTGAGAATATGATCTTACCCTAACTGGTATTCTGCACATCAAGTTCTCATGCAAAAACACATTGTTTCAAACCATAAGTTTTCCAAACACACTTTGCTCATGCAAACGTAAGAAATGAGTTAAAAGCAGAAATCCACCTGTGACAATAAGCTGCAGTAGCTGCTTAAATACTGGCAGCTGAGTGTTTCTTTCCCTTGCAGATCCTCCCAGTTTCCAGCAATCAGCCTTTCAGGGATTTCGAGAGTGGGAGCTTTCGTCTGGAGCTGGAGGATTTGATTACAAGTCTGATTACAAAAAGTGGAAATGAAAAGACATAAGGAGAGAATAATAAGACAGTTGGTGGCATAAAGGAATTAACGAACTAGAGAAGAATGCAATTCTGTTTAACAGTGATGAATTGAGTATTATTTGGTATTGTCCTAACTCTCAGCAAAGTAGAGATTTGCTGCAAAATGCTGCTGGGCCTGGTTTGGGAACACATGCTATAAACACATACCCACGGCATACATAGGAAATGGCAAAACGCAAATTATATCGCAGTCCTTAACACCACATAGCAAGCCTTGCCCAAAGCACTTAAATACTTAGATTGTCAGCTGTCTTTTTTATTACCGTCCTGGATCAGAAACGTTTGGCTCTTGGGTAAGGGAGATGACATAGCAGCAAACTGGTGGGCAGTTCTGGTTTTCTAACAGGAGAGTGCAAATCCTTGCCACCCGGCCAACTGAGAGGCCACTGGCTGAGAAGCAGTCACACTGTTCTGCCTGGAGTGAATAAGGTACTATTAGCAAGCTCTCCCTGTCACAGGTGAGAAGTTTGGGTAATTTGTACCCTCTCAGGTCTAATGCATTTCAGATAGGCCAGAGGATGAAATGCAGTACGCTGGGCAGAACAGCTAGCATAGAGCAGATTTTTGGCTGCAGATATATTTTGAAAGACTGTGTTCTTACAGCACTGTTAGGTCAGGAGAAATGTCACATGAAAGCTAATTCTAATTGAAATTCAGGCCTGATGCACTTTTGTTTTTCCACTTGGTTTGGGGGTGGAATAGCATTACCACAGCTAGCAGAAGAGTCTGATTCTTCTTTACGTACCAGATCTGCTAAATGGAGAGAAGGTATTATTGAGTAGGTATTATTCATATTCCTTTCCTCTTATGCGCCTTTCCTATTCAAGTTCTTTTAAATTATTATTATCTGTTTCAAACACTTGGCAACCAGCTAGGGACATATTATTCTTTGGTGCTTCAACAGCTGAGGCCCTTTCAGTAAACTGTGTTACAATGAGTAGCATCAGAAGAAGCTGGCAGGAATGAGCCTCAAAATAAATGTAGGAAGGGGTTTATCGTGCAACAGATAATTGACCTATGGAAACCACTGCAGAAGGCTGTTGTTAATGGAAAATCTTTATGTGGCTCAAGGGGCCTAATGGAGGAGTACTTGGAAGGGAAATCTGCTGTGGATTGATGCAGAAACCATCTCCAATTCAGTAAAGCTGCAACAGTAAAATAAGCTGAGAGGTGGGAGGGTATTGATGGAAGAAAAATAATTCATATTCTTATTCATTTTCTACTTCTTTCTGGATATCTGCCAGCCTCAGATATGGTGTATTAACTCTCTAGACCCTTCGTCTGATTTTTCTTAAGTTCTTATTCCTATCAAATGTCGAGAGTGTCAGTAATGAAGAATAGAGGGCATGGTTTCCATTTCTTCTAAAATATTAAATTACTGAATGTGTTTTTAAAAACAACAAAAAAAATTAACCTTTTAAATCAACAACTTTGTAAAAGCTGTGAGCTTTGTTACCCATACTTCTTGAGGTTTGGAAAGTTGTTGTACTATAAATTTGAAAATCTACAGGAAAAAAAGGCATTACTACCAAACTGCAAATAGATTACCTGTAAAAATAGAATTGTAGACTTGGTAAATTCAGAATAGCCTATTGGAGGTGATAATATGTACGTGCAGTTTTCTCTTCTAAAGCTTGAGGGGATTTTCGCACCTCAGTAGGATCTTTCCCACTACTGGCACAAAGAATTATCCTTCTTCATCCTTTTCCACTTATTTTGATTTAGAGCTCTTTACTAACACAAGTAATCTTCTTGCTGTTTCTCTTTTATTTGGGAATGTAACCAAGCACATCAATAATGAGGGCTCCATGCCCAGAGGAGGCTTCTCCTTCCTCTGTTCCCTACTCTACACCTTCAGTGAGACAAGTGAGCCACCATCACCTTGGTGGTTATTTTCAGTAGATCTGTCATTCCTTATACTGCAAAGCCCAGCACTGGACCCTGCACTACAGGTGTATCCTCACTAGAGCTGAGTAGAGGAATTATTCATAGCAATATGAAGATGTTTTTCCTGAGTAATAGGTAATTTAGACGACATTATTGTGGCTGTGTAATTAGAGTTAGTTTTTCTTCGTGCAGTAATTTATAGTTATCAGGATTGAATTTCATTAACCACTGCATTATCTACTGATGTTCTCTCAAAATCCTTTTACAACTCTTTATAACTTGACTACTGTGAATAATTCAGTGTCACCAGCAAACTTTTTCTCCTAATACTTCATGTTTTTTTTTTAATGTTCAGTTACAGATATTTTATGGAGTTATACAGCTATTTGATTTTCTATTTGCTGATTTTATATGCATAATTTCCTAGTTTTTTTAAGGCTCTATGAGGAGATACATTATTAAAGTGATTTGCTTAATTCTTAACTGTGTTTGTTGATATCTTCAAATTATTCCAACAGATTTTACTCTAAAGGTAATTCCTTTTATAACTTACATATTTATCTATAAATGCACTAATTCTATTTTTTAATATGCTTACTATTAATCTGCTCCATACAGGAGGCAGATTTAACTTCCTGTAGTTTTCAAAATTCCCCTGGAGGGTATTATGAAATACTGATATCACATTTACTATTTTCCAGTCATTGGGATCTGAGGTAATTTAAGCAGTGGACTGGAGGAACATTCAACACCTTGGTCATTTCAAACCATTCTAGGTCTGAGTCAAGCAGAAATGATTCATGCTCAGGTAGCTGGCTTTCACAGTGATTGTTGTGCTGCAGGGACATCTCAGAGGAAAAAAGGTGCCACGCTGCAAATTTCATCACCTGTAGGTAAGCACCACCTCATCTAGCTGCAGATGAGCACGACTTTCATTTATATTTTACTTTCAACTCCAGGATTTATTTATTTATTTATTTATTTATTTATTAGACCACTTGTAAAGACTCAACAGCAAGCAGAAACAAGAGGCACCTGTTGCCAGCGGCTCTGAATGATTATGCAACATGCTTCCAGTAGAAAGGCTTTAATGGCCTTGGTGTCAACTTGGTGTCAAAATATATTGTGAAAACTGGGTTAATCAATACAACTTTTACAAAACTGATATGGGTTAGTTAGTTTTGGTGTGTAAGAAGCTCAAATAGCTGAGGTCATATGCAGTTACCGACTTCAGCTCTCAAGAAAGAGAACCTTGGGCTGTATTTTTCAGCAAGTTTAAGTTTTTCAGCATCCTTTTTTTTTTTTTCTTTTTTTTTTTCTTTTTTTTTTTCTTTTTTTTTTTTAATGAACACCTGAAAGGGAAGTCTTTATTTTGGGAAAATCTGCTCACATTTTTTTTCCCCCCTTAATTTCCCCCTCCAAAAAAAGTCTGTCAGATGAACAGTTTGATTGATCAGAGCTGCCATGCAGGGTGAGCTCGTCTTCAGGCTGTAAATAAAAAGAGAGCTACAGTGAAAGCCACATTGGATGTGCTTCCCCTTTCATCCTTTGCTAAGGCTCATACAGGTGAAATTATGTGACAGTCAGACAGCACTTCATTGTGTGAGGGAGAATATGAGGAATCTTGCAAGCATTTACAATAGATGTGATCTACACTCATTTCCCCATGACTGTATTTTGACTTTGACAATTTGAGAGGCAGAAAATAAGGATGAGAAAGACAGAATTTAAGAAAAAGAAAACCCCACATACAGAAGATACATATTTAATACTGTTTCATACAAGAAGATTTATTTTGGCCTTCAAAAAGAAAGCTGTTTTCAATTTTCTGTCCTACTGAATCTATTTTGCACTATTAAGTTCCACTTTTCAGACAGGAATTATTTTTGCTGTGAAAGCATTGTCTTGGAGTGATTCTAGAATTCAGATACAAAATTAATATAGCTAGGATAGAATAAAGACTGAGCTTCTAATATCAGATAATCTCTCCAGATATTCTGTTTCTTTGAGGGGGAAGCTGCTACATCCTCACAAGGAACCTCTCATAGGATCCCCTTCTTGGATCCGCAGATATAGAACCAAGACTCATCCCATGGCCTACTTCTGCATCTGCAAAGTATAGTGGCAATGCTGCCTGCTATTTTGGCAGTACAAAAAAAAAATAGAATAAATTAAAAAAAAAAATTGAAAGATTCTGCACTAATTTCAACTGGAATAGGGCTAGTTTTCTTCATAGTGGCTGATATTTTATGGATTTAGGATGAGAATAAGGTTGGTAACACACTGGTGCTTTAGCTGTTGCTGAGCTGTGCTGCACAAAACCAAGGATGTTTCAACTTCTTTTATTGTCCTGCCAACAAGGAGCCAGAGGTGCACAAGATGCTGGAAGAGGACACTGCCAGGACAGCTGACCTAAACTGGCCAAAGGAATGTTCCTTATCATGTGGGAGTTAGTCAGGAGGGCTGCTGCTCCTTGGGAACTGGCTGACATGAATCAATGAGTGGTGAGCAATTGCTTTATGCAATATTTGTTTTGTATATTCTTTTATTGTTGCTATTAATGATAATACTTTTCCCTTCCTTTTCTGTCCTATTAGGCTGTCTGTATTAGCCTGAGTAATGGCCAGCTACCTGACAGGTTAAACCACAGCATTTATATTGAGACATGCTCCACAGTGTACTGCTCCTCATCTACAAGAGTAAAAATGTTGAACTTCAGCTTGCGGAGTGTGGTTGCCTTTGTGTTCAAAAGAATGTGTTCAAAACAAATGCCATAGTCTTATGCCTCCAGGTATCACAAATGCCATTAATTAGTAATCCTGGAAAGTCTGCTTTAGAGTTAACAACGGGTGATTGGATAAGCAAATAGCAGAAGTCCTATTGCTTGTGGCTGGATTAGTTGAAAGTTTTCCTTATTGTCACTGGCATTCTCCATTTCTCTTTAAGCTGAAAATACTTTGCAAATAGTTTTAACTTCAAGTCTTAACAGCACCTGTTTAGGGGGGAAAAATATTAAAAACAAAAGTAACATTTCTGTAACTTTTTGGCAAGCTGCTTTTTTTTTAAATGAACATCTGAACTGGAAACTTCTTGGAAACACGCTTTTCACATTTCTTTTCTTGGAATGGTACATCTTCGCTCAGAGAAGTGATAAAACTATTGATAAACAAACTGAAGATCTTCATGATTTTTGAAGATGTAAGTCTTTGTTCAGTTACTCTCAATATACCTCTGTCACTTTGTATGCTGAATGAGTCCTCTTCTGACCTTGTAAATTGAGTTTTAGATGTACACTTAGCTGCAGTCCTCGTTTGTAATGCCAGAGGCAATTTAATTGTTCAATACTTTCATTAGTCTGCTATTGATTGGTTCCTTTTCTTCCCCACTGTGCAGAGAAAGGTGCATTTCATCTTGCTGTTTACAATTTAGCAAACTCTCTTACTGTTTCTATGGCATTTTGATGGTATTTGACACTAATCTTGCCTAGGGGCACTTAAAGCAACATTTTATTTAAAACAACCTTCTAAGCAATTTTACCTAGCTTGGCAAGATCTTTTCTTCTGAGGTCTTAGTAAATCTCTTATCCTCTGTGCCTCTCTCCCAGCATCTATTAAACCAAATGCTGGAGTGGGAAGGGAGAAGCTTTCCTCGGGTGGTTAACGGTATTTATTTGCTAATACTGTTAGTTAATGAGTGATGGTATGCCCTCTGAAGCTGATCTCCAGCCTATATTGGGAAGAAGAGCACCCTAATAGGCTATGAGTGTCATTATCTATGATATTGGGATGTCCAAACTCGCAGAGCACTCAGGTTTTTTGACACTTCAGTACCCATGCCAAGCTGTAGGACTGTCTAGTGTTCCTCTACTTTCTGCTATCCTCCCTCACTCTACAAAATGAGGGCTCAAAAGCCACCACGATGAAGACAAGCCAAGGCAGATTGGCTTGTCACCTGCCCAATTCCAGAGGCTGTACACAGCAAGCATTCAGTGCCAAAACACTCATGGAATCTTAGAATGTCTTGGGCCGGTAGAGATCTCAAAGCCTACCCAGCCCCAACCCTGTGCCGTGGGCAGGGCTACCCCCCACCAGCTCAGGCTGCCCAGGGCCCATCCAACCTGGCCTTGAGCACCTCCAGGATTGGGGCATCTACAGATTCTCTGAGCAGCCTGTGCCAGTGCCTCACCCATCGTGGGTAAAATCTTGCCTCCCAATATCTGAACTAAATCAGCACTCATAAGGCAATAGAGGGAGGCCTCCAAAGTAGAGACCCACTGGGCCCTAAATGGCCACAGGAGGTGAATCCAGCTTGCCCTGGAAGGAATCATGAAAAACTGGATTTTTCACTTTTGCAAGCAGTTTGTCCCTGTAAGTGCTTTTACTAGTAAGAATGTAGTCCTAATTGCTGATTGAATTCGTCTGGATTTACCTTCCAGGAAGGATTTTTATTTTATATTCTCTGATAGACTAAAGAAGTTCTCTGTGTCTTTTATTTTGCACCTGGTAAGACACATGCTGTAATCATTGTATGACAGCTGAAATGGACCAAACAGATTTTATCAGCAATGATTCCTCATTATTATTTCCCATTATCATTTTTCCTAGGGCTCATGTTGAGGTATATTACGTTATTCATGCTGACAGTCTTTTAAAAACTATCAGCACTGTGTTATCACTCTTCTCCATCCTCTGGAATTTTTTTGCTGTAAATTGGGAAAAGATTTCTTCACAAATCCCCTTAAGATGGAAATAGATTAGTTACATCTACTGAACTCGTTGTTTTTTTTTTTTTCCTGAATATTTTTAGCTTTCTCATGAGTTTCTGGTGGCATCCGAATAGGCTCCAGGTAGCTTACCCTATTTCCAAATACAGAGTAAAATCTGTTTTGAACACTAAAGTTTTTTAAATTATTCATAGAAATGAAATTGTTAGTTACTTATTAATGGTACTCACAGGCCTGTGCAATCACTTCAGTTACTAATTCCCACTGGTTTTTGGTACTAGGTGAGAAATTTGGAAGCAGATAGGGAATTAAAATAAAATCATCTGTCCTGCTTGGTGCCATCAATAGTGTTTATGTCACTTTGAGCAGCAGAGCCAACACAGGCCTCTTTCTTAGTTAGGAGTCTAACAAGAAACAAGAGGAACCTCAGAACCATTGGCACAATCATAGAATCGTTCCAGTTGGAAAAGACCTCTAAGATCACCTAGTCCAACCATCAACCCATCACCACCATGCCCACTAAACCATGTCCCTAAGTGCCACCCTTCTTCTGAACACCTCCAAGGATGGTGACTCCACCAGCTCCCTGGGCAGCCTGTGCCAGGCTCACCACTCTTTCTGAGACAAAATTGTTCCTAATATCCAGTCTGAACTTCCTCTGGCACACCTTAAGGCCATTAATTCTCATCCTATTTGTTGTATCAATTTCTAATTTATTTTTTTTTTAAAGCTTTATAAAATTGTGAGATTATTTTACGTTGTAACTAATGGATCCCATTCACAAGTACACGCATTGATGTATGCTTGCAGACACAGCCCCCTGTCTCTGAGACCTCCAGTTTGGCTGAACACGAGGCAGGTTTTGGGTACCTTGGAAACAAAGTTGGCTTTGTGGCTCACTTGTTCAGGCATGGCTCTGCAGCTGCTAACCTAGAGGTGGCACATGTCCTAGGAGACCTACCAGTCTGTAGCACATACCTTCGTTTTGCTGTGTCAGTCCTGCTTCAGTCACTTACCTGGACTGAAGTAATCTTTTGGCTCTACTGGTAAAGATCTATCCCAGGGTATGTTATGCCATAATTCATAGTTCAGCTTTTTCTTTGATAACGATATGAGTCTGGACTCAATGTGAGGACTGATAAAATGAAGAGAACTGATTGGTAGTAGATGGCCTTTGGGCTTTTAACAATTTCGTTCATATTTGAAGACTATCAAAGGAGAGACAGATCTTTGAATATGCATATCTTTGATGGATCAAACCAGTGCTATAGGCATCAGAAGGAAAATACTGCAAGTACAGTAAGTTTCAAGAACTTTGTGCAGATGGTTCCCTTTGGATTATTTTTTTCCTGGTCTGTTTTGTACATTAGAAAACTAGATAAAGCTTGCCCAATATTTATACAACTGTATTAGCTGAATAGTGCGTATAGTAATATAAGCTTTTTCAGTTGGTTTCCTGGAATCAAAATACACAGAAACCCAAGTTTTGTAATCTTTTACTAATGTGGTTTCTCTCCTAAACAGGAAAAGAAAATAAATTTTGCCAGTAGCAGTCCCAGCCCCCTCTGTGAGCAGATGACGCCAAAGACAGAAAATGCACAGAACTCCTGGAGAACAGAGAAGCCCTAAGAAAACTTTTCCTGTGCTGCCCGTGGATAGCTAGCTTTATGCTAACACTATGAAAAAGTGTCAGCTGCATTTCCTGTAAGCAATAACAAGATCAATGCTTGTAATCTGCAGTGGAACAGCAATGATAGCACAAAAGCTTTACATACTCTTAAGTATTTATCTAAGTAACTGTGGATGAGTAAACAACTTGCTGGTCACCTAGTTAGCTTTTTGAGGACCAGAGAGCTGTTTCAAACAATGTGTTTTGAAGATTTGCAGCTAAACTGCAGATCTGAGCTCTGACCTTGGGATTATGACATACTGATGTTTTCCCATCAGTCACAACACCTTGGGAATGCTATGTGTGGTTTCACTATGATTACAATGATTTCCAAAATTAAGTTCTGGGTAGAAATCTTAAGTTCTAAATATGCCATTTTTTTGCATCAAATACATCTCTCTCCTAAAGTGTGCTAGGAGTTCTCAAATGGAACCCACAGAGTGTGTGAGTCTTACTTTCTAATGCCTGAAAACTATGAAATCTGCAAAGAAATACTTATTTACTTAATAAGTAAATAACTTAAGTAAACACTAAAGTAAGTAAATACTTATTTACTTACAGTGAAGCCATTGGCTGACCCAGTAACAAAAACTGTGACAAGAGACCCCTATACAAGGGAAGATCTGAGCTTGGTGCTGTCTGGCTCCAGCTGATGCCTGGCCCCTTTGGTGATGCAGCACAAGAGGTTTCTGCTGCATAGCTCTGTCCATCCTGCTTGAAACTGTCAGATACCCACTGCTCGTGAACCTTGTCTACATGGGTCATGTTTATGACAAGAGGAGGACTCGTGCTTGTCATACTGCCCTTTTCTCCTGAGCTTCCTTCATCTCCTCACGCTGGAGCATGAACCCATGTGACATTTCCCAGAACAAACATGCCTGGCTGTTCTATCCCTGTTCCTGTGCACACTGCCTGCTTTCAGCCTGGCTGCACAAGCCCCTCATGCCACTGCATCACCACAGCCTCCTGCATGGTGAGTAGCAGCACAGGGTGGCCCACACTGCAGTGTTTGCTTTCTTTCTAGCATTAGGTGTGTAACAGGGTGTTTCCTAGCAGTTGCTTCATTATTAATGTCGGATGCCATAGCCTTTGTTGCTCACTAACTGCAGAAACATTTGAGGGAGCAGAGTATTTGCTGAGGAGGAGTTGGGGACATCATAGTGTCATAATTGTAGTATAAGATCCAGATATGAGAACAGCAAAATAATAAATACCAAATTGGAAAGTACAAAAAAACATTGTTTAGGAGATTCTCTATGAGATCATTTGTCTTTCCTCTTCTCAACTTTCAGCAGGAACAGTTCTGCTGAAAGTCTCCACAAAAATTTTCCCTTCACAAGCTACAGGTTCCCAGGGCACTTACTGTCCAGGAAAGTGATCATAAATAAATAAACAAAACCTCTAATTCATATACATGAGGTTCTTCTATTCATCCTCCAAACAGAGACAGGAACTTCTATAGGCAAGCACTGTGAATATCTCCAGCTTTTTTGGTAGGTTTGTCTCCACAGTGATCCTACTCGAGTCTGAGTCAAGATTGAAGTCAGTGCTCATCACACTGCTTCTGCATTTGTCATGGCCCAAAGGGGATAAAATGTGGTTCAGATCACTTTGAAAGTCAGATCCAAAATCCTTTTAAAACCTGTCACTTTAAATTGGAGCTATCAGTAAAGAGAATAAACATTTGTTGAGACAAATCTATAGCTTTCAGAGTCTGTTTTGCTCCAGGATGTCTGTTGCAGTGTTGCATTTCCTCACATTTGGAGTGCGCCCCCTCAGCACTGAGGTGGCTGCAGACAGCTGTGAATGAGAAGGGTTGAGAAAGGGTAGAGCAGAATGTGGGGTATCTGCAGTAGCTGAACAAGTTGCGTTCTTCACTCAGATGCCAACCAGACGGCAGACAGCACAGGGTGTTTTCTCTTCATTGTACTGTAAATGTTAAAAAGCACTCACTCCCTGCCAGACACTCATCCCTCACCACTGGCTGTTTTACCTCTTGCCTCCTGTCCTTGGGAGCTGAAGCATTTCATCCTTTTTAGAAGACACATCTTGTTGCTTTTATCAGTGACACCAGTCCTGTCGCTCCTCACCAATATGTCCACAATGTCACAGCGAGCAACTAAGAAAATAATGACTTTCAGATCATTCATAGCTCTGCAGCACTGGAGGAATAATGCCATAAAAGGGCAAGCTGTACAAGGTGGCCCTGCCACGTTGCTCAAGCTCAACCTGGGGCTCACTACTGGTAGTTCTCCTCATGCTCCCTGCTGTGATGCCTGCACAGCCCACCCCATCTCTGTGTGAGGGGATTGGGGCGGGGGCCAGAGTCCCCCCTACACCAACCCTGCAGCCTGGGCTTCCCCCGCAGGGGAGTCATAGATCATAGAATCATTTGGTTTGGAAGGGATCCTTAAAAGACCATCTAGCCCAACTTCTCTTCAATGAACAGGGACACCTACAAATACATCAGGTTGCACATTGAAAGTGTTTCCCTTTTATTTGTTGGCTTGACAACCTAATTTTTGGCTGAATATCACATTTTAAGTACATGATTACCAAATCTACAGCTGAATGGTGTTTGTAGTTCACACTAGACCTTCCCACATAGAAGCAATTTGTATTTCAGTCAGGGTAGAAGATATGGTGTATATGCAACAAAACTGCTGGAGGCAGGCTGAGAAAACATAAATGAGCTTCATTTCTGTTGCTTTCAGGTTGCTTCCGTACAATCTCTTCAGTTCTTATTTACTGTAATCAGCTTCCATCTGATGGCAATTTGTAGGTAATTGTGCACTACAGTTTGTTCAATATTCACAGCAAAACTGCATCCTTCTGAAACCTGAAGTGAACCTCCGCAAATGCTTGAGCTCCAGAAAGATGAAAAGGTCTCAGCCCAGGACACTCATTGTGCTGCTCAAAGAAAAGTACAGGGGCAGAACACATGGGCACCAGGAGCACAAAGCAGCTTTTTACACTGAGATTATTGCAGAGACAAAGAAGTTCAAAACAGACTGAGATCTTGTACTCTCTCTGCCCTGAGGACTGCCCCAGGGTGGGTCGCAGGACTTCAGCATTACCTGGTACAGCCAGGGGAAAAGGGAAGACCTCCTATGGAAAGCTTTTTTTCCTGGTGGTAGTAGGTGAGAGTGGCATTAGTTTGAGCTCAGCTGGATCAATAAAATCACCCAGGTCCTCGCGCTTCTGGCTTCTCTCCGATCATGCCTGAATAACTCATTAACTTTGCTTTGGCTGTTCTCGTGGCACAGCCCTTTTTGAACTGATAGGGTCCTTCTCTGGAACAGGAATGATGTATTCATGTTTGTAAAGAGCTGTGTATGTTTATGGCACTACTTAAGTGCTGAACAATAACAAATGTAGCAAAGGTCAACACAGCTGCCAGGCTCAGTGTGGCTGTGAGAGATAAGCCCGGCATGAAAAAGCTGTTCATTTTACACTGAGATAGCAGCAGCCTCCCAGCAGACTTGGGAGAGGCTGTCCTGGGAAGAAATGGAGAAGTGGTATGAACACAGCCTTTGCAGGGGCTGAGCAGCACGGGCTCATCTAGGCAGTGAGTGCAGTCCAGAAGAGGCCTTCTCTGCTGTCACTACTGGATGTTGTAATAGACTTAACTGGTTTAAGTTTTTGGGGAAGGCTGTGACCCAATTGTTCTCTGCCTCCACCTAAGAGGTACTTATTCTCTGTGTATCCTAGAGCACAGATCTCTCATTTGAGAGATAATTGGGGAGAGAGAATTCTGTGTGATAAGCCTGGAGCAAGACTGATCATATTTTGAATTAAACTTTCTTATCAGACAGATCAGCTATTGCCTCTGTCCATTTCTGGTGAATGGGCTCCTTTGCTTTGCAGCCAGCAGTGTTTTAAAGCTCCTTTAACAACCAAAATGCCTAGATCCTTGCACAAACAAACCAACAAAGCTGGTTTGTGTGAAGTCAAATTCTCCACAGAGGTCTGCACACTCTGCCACTGAGAGGCATATATGAAAGCTGCTTTGGAATAGCATTTAAATCCATTAAATCCATTAAAAGGCTTCACAATTAAATTTGCATGCAGTCAGAGTCTGTTCTTTCTCTCCCTAGTAGCAGCAGCGAGCCCAGCCGTCTGGAGAACATCAGTTTCTGTGCCTCAGTCTGTCACCTTGGCCTCCACCAGCCGACTTGGTGAGGCAAACCTGGCTGCACCCAGCTGCTGCTTTCCAACAAACCAGCATCCTGATGGTGAAGGCAATGCATATGCAGGTGGATGCCCAGCCTGTTTCAAAGGAGGCTTGTCAGCCACCCAGCAAGTGAAACCTGTGGGGGCTTTGACTGAACCATCTGAATCACCAGAGGCTGCAGGTCTGTGCTTGGGTGAGGCCCAAAGAGATGGCAGGACCTGGGAGCCTTTGGGTAGGGGATCTTTCCCAGACAGGTTGTGGGAAGAGGGCACTGTGGCTGAAGCAGCTTCATGTGGTGGGAAGGTGACAGAGAAAATTCAAAGGAAGTGGAGCCTGAATAAAAGGCCAGATGTTGACTGTCATAGCACCTTCAGCAATCGTTGCTCCTCATTAGAGGACTAATGATGCCAGAAGTGTCACGTGGCAGCTCTCTGCAGTAAGAGCCAGAGCATAAATGAGCACTGCCATGCAGATTTAGGGTCCCAACCATCTTTGGGTGCAGAGGATCTTTATCAAAATGGACGGCCACTACGGATGGATAAATTGCCACGGATATGTCTGTCAGGGATAGAAAAATCACATCTTCCCACAGCCACACAGAAATCCCACTTGTTAGGCAGGTGTCTTTGCTTTCAAACATGGGCCAGTGTCATATGTAGCAGCAGCTGTGCACTCCCAAAAATAATTCCTTGCCACCAGGTTGCAGGAAGACAAAATCAGGCAGCCCGACTCACTTCTTCCTCCCTCTGCTCCAGCCCCAGGGAGTTGCTGTGTGCTGACACCAGCCACAGCTGCCATGAAGAGCCTGGAGCTTTAATCGGTTTCTGATTGAACCTTTCTGCCTGATTCCTGGTGCAGGGCAGGGACACCCCCTTTTCCTGAAAGTCATTTAGGGGAATGCTGAGCGGGTGTTCTTTTCTGGCTGTTCATAGTAGGCTGTTCAAGGTTTCATTCAGGGGAGAAAAATAAACATGGTTTTAGTCTGAAAAACACTAATGAGCAAGGAAAGTTCAGTGACACATCCTGCATTCAAAAACTATGTGGATTTTGAAATCTTAATGTCTTTTTAAAAATATGTCTTTTTTTTTCTTCAGAAATATGAATTACCCACTTTGATGTACCCAGTATTTTTCAGAAAGCATTTTATGTGTTTATCTGAGGACATTAGAGTGCTGCTGCTCTCTGTAAGGTAAGCAGTGTTTTCTTCAATCTCTTCAGTGCCCTTTGCCTATATGTATTGCAAGTCCTGCTGTTCCAAGTGGATGTGAACAGACATCTAGGTCTGGCTGCTAAATTCATGCCATGCTAACAGTTTGGATGGTTTGTGCTGCAAAATAATCATAGAATCATAGAACCATAGGATAATTTGAGTTGGAAGAGACCCTTAAGGGCCGTCTAGTCCAACCCCCCTGCTGTGAACAGGGACACTTACAGCTACATCAGGGTGCTCAGAGCCCCCTCCAGCCTGACCATGAATGTGTCCAGGGGCATCAACCACCCCTATAGGCAAACTGTTCTTGTGCCTCACCACTCCTGGTGTAAAAAAAAAAAAAAAAAAAAAAAAAAAAAAAAAAAAAAGTTATTTCTTAAATCCAATCTGATTAATCTAACATTTAATCTAACATGATATAATGCTTATGTTTTGTGGAGTGAGCTGTTCTGCTAACCCTGTGGGAACAGCTCTACAGCTCTCTCCTTGTTTGGGCTTCCAGGGGAACAAGCAGCTGGAAGGTGATGGATGAGGAGGAGCACAGGTTAGGAGCAGTCAGTAGTGATAGAGCTGGCCCACAGCTGGGAGCCTTGGGTGAGCTGGGAGGAGCTGTAGGGAAAGGGAATTAAAACTTCTGGTTGTACATAGCCCCACAGACTCAGTTCATTGCTGAGGGCTGGCTCTTGTACCACAGGAATAAATGCAGGACCTTCACTGGCCTCAGGTATGACCAATGTAGACGTTTTGTGTTTGTTTGCCTACTGTGAGACAATAATACATGTGCTTCTCAGTTTCTTCTGGATTTCCAAATATTTCTAAGAGATCTTTCTTGAGCATTTTCTTGTAACAAGATCAGAAACATGCAAGGGATCTTTCTTGATCTCCATTTCCTGCTCCTTCTTTTTTAGCTCATCATTTAAAGTGGTTTGTTTTTTGTTTTGCTTTGTCTGTTTTTGTTTTGAATGGTTTTAATATAATTATTATAGCACTCAAGTGCTGGAGCTTCTCATTCACATAGCTTAAAGCATACACTGCTAAAGAGCAAGGATGTGATGGTAGAGGTGTTAAATTTCTTTCAATAAGCCAGAAGAAGGATTATTATCCACCAGCTGCTTGGGAATATTGCCAGAACATGCAGTTTTAGCAGAAGAAAGCAAAAAGTGTGTGCTTGCAAGTGTATCTGCAGCTTTGCTCCTCAAATTCTTCAGGCATGGCAATATTACATGTCTAATGAAGTGGCAATTACAAAAGCAACAGTCCTTATTAGTCCCTTTGGCAGTGAGAATAATTCTAGGTGATTTTCATCCTGTTCTTTGCAGAGTCCACTGAAATGCAAGACAAAATTCTCAGGTCTTTCCAATAGCCTCAGGGGAATGAGCCTCATGTCCTGGGTGGGTCCCCTGTGAGGGTCTCTGAGAGGCTGGTGTTTAACTGCCTCTTGAGAGGTAATAATGCTGCTCCTGCAGATACAATTTGCAGGATGTACTACCAAAAAGATGAGAAGAACTGATCCTAGGCTTCACAAATTGGTACGCTAGGGATTTCTGCTGGGATGGGGAGGGGTCAATTTACACTTCAAACACTGAAGTGTGCCTTTGGATACATTTGCAGAGCTCCTTCAGAAGTTAATAAGGACCGTGAAATTTAAGAAGATACAATTTAGCTTAAATGTGTCCTTCTAACTACGCTACTTACGTGGCTAATCCGTTTTAATGTGCTAACCCAGTTTTTAAATGAGTTTCTCAGTGCTTGAGCTGAGGCGTCCTAAGGAGAATAGGATGTTGGGAAGCATCTCCCAAATTCTCTTAAAACAAGAAATTAGATTCCAACAAAACAAATCCCAAATCTCTGGAATATTCCAAGACTGGGAAGAGGGTTTCTTTATACAAAAACTTTTTTTTTTTTTTTTTTTTTTGTTTTTCTTCCTGTCTAAGCTACTTTATTCAAAAAAAGATTAACTCTACTCTTATTGTGTCTAAGAGTAAGCTGCTGCACCCGAGCTGTGGGTGGAGTGAAATGGAAGGAAGGTTTTCTTTCTTTTTCTTTTCTTTCTTTTTTTTTTTTTTTTTTTTAAAGCAAATGTTTTATCTCTTCCTTGTCAGCAGATTTTTAGCATCAGTAGAAATCTAAAATAAGTTCAGAACAATAAAAAGAGCAATGTAAAATGATGACTGAAATCATCAAAGCAGAATCATGATGTCCACTTGCTTTGTCCTGCCTTGTTCTTGAAATAGGTTTATGTGGCTCTAGTGTGGGTACTATACAGAAACTCACGGAGGCATTACAAAACCAGGGCAGAAGCAGGAGCATGAACTCTTTTTCCTTTATTTTTGAAAAATATCAGATCACAGAAAATATTTTAAAGGCAACTTTTGTTATCATTAGACTTTTTCTAAACTGAGATGATTATGCACCATTCATTCCTCCTCTTCCCCTCCGCCTTTTTGTGCCTTGGTTCCTAGGGCTGAAAAGCTGCTGCTACCAAAACCTTCCATGAAGAGGATGCAGAACAGCTCTTGCAGCCTTCCAGGTGGTGTATGGGGAAGTGGGAAGAAGCAAAAGAAAGCATCATTTCAAAAGTCTAGTCAGAAATAAAAGGGCTTGGATGCCTGAGCAACCTTTCTGGCTCCCAGTCTCCTTAGCTGTCTGCACCTTCCTGTTTGTGTTTGCCAGAAGCTCTGTTGTTCTTGCTACAGTTTGGCAACTCCTTCCCTTTAAGTACAAGGACCACCACTAAGTCTGCCTGTGTACTCTCACAGAACAGAACTGTGTGATGCTGTAGGATTTTGAGCATAGCCCTGGTGGACTTTGCCTTGCACCACTTTAAAGCCCGAGATAGATGGGTGTGATGGCAATGATGAAGTTAGAATTTCTGTGTTAGAAATGAAATCGCCACTTTTGCATTTCTACCTCTAAATGAATTCTTGTTGTTGTATGACAAGGCAGTCAGAAAACGTGCAATAAAGAAAAAGAAAAAAAAAAAAAAAAAGGTGGGGGGAGATTTCTGGATATTAAACCTGTATAAAAGCAAGTACTTCAGTTAAAGGAACATAATAGGAGAGGAAATCTTTTTTCACATTTTTAGAGAGGTCAGACATTCACTCTTCCTGTTGAGGATGAGTACAGATGAGTAGGTGTGCCATACAGATTGGAAAAACAGTTCTCACTTATACAGAGATAACTGACCATTGACTACTAGAGTTTCAGTAAGCTCCATGCTCAGTCTTATCTTCATGAGGCTTGTTCCTACGTGTGTACTCATGAAAATATCGTGTCTTCCTAGTGCAGCTTGCTAGCTCATCCATGGTCGTGCAATCGACTCACAGTGGTTTCCTCTGTGCGAAGTCAATAGAATTTTTTCAGCTCTATAAAGCTCTGGAGGCTAAAATTACATCTATTATTCTGAAAAGATGGATAGTAGGAGCAAATTAAATATATAGGGTATGTAATACAGTGTTTGACAAAAAAGCACTTAATGAGTCCATCATAAACCTGGTGGATCTTGGTTCTACTGGAATACCTTAGTAGCATGGAAGGGAAACTGTGACAATTTTTGTCAAAGAGAGAAATCTGGCCACTTCACTTCTATCACTCAAATAGATTCAGTAAAGTTGATTTTTTTCCCTTAGAAACCAGTTCTGTAGCAGATCCAAACACTAAACTCACTGATTAACTATTGTCATGCCAAAATTCTAGTTCGCATTTATTTAGTCTGGTATATCAGTATCTAGCATTGCATTTCAGTGAAGAGTCATAAAATATAACTACATTTTTTTAAAAACAGAATTAAAAAATACATAAAAATGCAAACAGAAACTTATTCTCTCAGAGGGGAAGCACAGTATGAGATACGATTTTTAAGAAAGGTAACAGAGGATTCTGTTCTGCACAGCAGACTACTTGATCATCCTAATACAAAGAGGAATAGGTAAAATTCTGTGCTGTTGGCTACCTTTTGCGCCTAGCACCCTTAGCTGCATTCCACCTGGTTCCATGGCCTCATCCAGATCAGACATTACATCAGACGTTGATTTGTTTTACCTTTCCTCAGAGCTTCTTACAGCCAGACAAGTTGCTGTGTACTTGGCACCACAGAGCATCTTTGTAGTTCTCCACCCTCCTCCCCAGTTTAATAGTAGATATGCAGCACCAGATGCAATTGTGGCACAGCGCTGGGCACCACCTGGCAGCAGCTGGTCAGACCAGACCTTCCCCCTTGCATCCTTCATGCTCCTGTGCCAAATTGGGTGCTTTCAGCTTGCAGATTGGGTGCAAAGGGGGATGCTACTGCTTGAACTGGGAAATGTTTTCCCAGGCCATGAGAAAATATGATTTTGTTTTTAATTTCTTAATATCGTGATATATTCCTCTGCTTTGTTGGACTCTGCACTGCAGATCTATGAAATCCATTGCAGTATTGACCTTGATGTGATCCAACATGCTCCAGCCAGGAGGAATAGCTACCCTCAGAAACGTTAGTTTCTGTGGCTTGCAGTGTTTGACTGCTGTAGGAAATAAAGTCATTGTTGCTGCAGAATATTTGCTTACTGAATAAAGGAAATTAAGGCAATGGAGAGAAGAAATCCCACTGTGCTTTAATAATCCCATGGCTCAGAAAAGCCGCCTAGATCTTGTGATTAAAATACTGATGAGCCTAGTGAATTAATGCTGTGATAGTGCAGCATTGCCTTTGAGCAGTTAGCTTGACTGCTGGGTCTGGTGTATTTACAATGGGCTGATCCCCAGACTTACAAAGGAAACTGAATTCCCTGGGGCAGCATGTGCATGTGATGCCAAATGGACTGAAAAAAACTGACTGGACCTGGGGAGACACACAGGGATCTTATTTACTTCTCCAGGTATGAGAAGTTTGTAGCCAGCATGGTCAGTAGGGCTCCTGTTGGCCAGCATCCATTGCTATCTGTTATGAAGACAGATATGGAAAAAGCTTCAGAACAAGCAAAACTTGAATCGACACCAGCCTGGAGCCTGTATTGGTGTCTCCAGCGAACCAGCTTCTCAGGGGAGAACTGGACTTTGTCCAAGCCGGGCTTCAATAACACGGGAAATGGAAAGAAGGATAAGAAAGAAAACAGTGCTGAGAGCAGACTGTAGAAGACAGGTCATCAGATAGTGTAAATTCTGCTGGTACCATGGATGTTAATGGCTCAACAGGATGTTTTCCTCCTCCAGACCCAGCCAGAACTTCTTTTACAGTAAGTTCTTTCTTACTGTTCAGTCACACAGCTGAATAATAATGTGGAAGTGGAATTAGAAGTTTTCTATGGGAAAAAATAAAAAACAGCTTTTTGATGGGCCTTGTTTCTACACAGGCAGTCCATAAGTTATTCAATTTTTAAGGCATACCCTGGGACAAAGAAGAAAAAAAAAATGACCTTAGATTGCACATAGGATGCAAAATGTTCAAGAAAAAAACCTTTTAGATTATGACTAGCTGTTCCTCCCTCATGCCATCTTTCCCTCCCCCCCTTCCCTACCTCTCCCTCCAAAACGATTAGAAAATCACATTTCTGGTGCTTGTTTCTCCCATGTACTGTCACAAATATTCTATTACTTTAAATGAACCAGAGCTGTAACTTCGGGAGCAGATCTACAAAACTTACATCATGCCACACACATACACCAGATGGTTCAAAATGCAGCAGCATGAAGCAGTTGTCAAAACCAAGGAGCTGCTTGTCTTTTTCATTTGTCTTTTTGAATCTGAATGACCAAAAAGCAAAATTTGGTGCAGGGAACTCATGGCAATGGCTTCACGTAAGGAAAGGAAGCTCGGCACATTCATCTTCATGTGCAGCTGGGAAAATCACAGCTCTATTGCAAGATGTATGTGAAGTCTTTGTATATTTCTGGATGTGAAGTGCCATTGGTAAGAAATTTCTTCAGAGTGTTCCCAGTCAGTGCTTATCTTGTCTGATGACTTGCTTCTGCATAATGGAAATGATTCCAACATTCTTGAAAGAAGAGCATCCCCCGTTGTGAGCTACTCAGCTTGCTGGTTCAGGCAAATTCCAAGCACCTGAGGAAAGAGACACAATTCAGTTTGCTGCTTCTGTTTTCTCCTTCCTGAAATTTATGTTGTCTTAGGGCACTTCAAGGTTACCTACCGTTACATGAATGAGAAGCTGCGTTTTGCATCAGGAACATCTAGAGCTCAACATTCAAAAGAAGTATGGATAAGCCAATAAAAAAAAAAAAAAAAAAAAAGAAAAAAAAAAGAAAAAAAAAAGCCTTTAGAAAGGTCAATAAACTGCTTCTAGGCAGCTAGTAGTAGAAATTTAACCATGATTATTTTTTCCCCATGAATTATTAACACGTGCCATAAAAATGCTATCAGCAGAGGACAAGTAGGGCATTCTGAGAGAATTTTGAGTTTGATATTTTCAGCTAGAAACCAACAAGAAATGTCCTCTTCAATGACACAGCTATTAAAGCACAGCCAACCATAAAAGCAGTGAAAGTTTTACACTCTTACTGTTATCTCAAAAATCCAACAAAGGGAGAGGCCAAGACATGTCTGTCCCCCATTTACTAGTGGCAGAGATTATCACCTTACCATCATGACCAAGAAATAAGACCCGGGGAACTAATCACACTACTTCACTATAAAAGCATTTAAAAATAATTTTCTAAAATACTGGAAGAATATAGCTCTGTTACAGACCAAAGGTTTTAGTTTTACAGATCTACTTCTCATCGTAAATATTTCTGAGAGAAAAAATAAAAGTGTATTTCCTGGAAAATTATTTCAATGCATGTCTAAACTTGTCTAAACTTCAAAATCAACAGCAGTGGTCCTGCCTGACCTTGTCATTTTCTAATGGATTCAATGACACAGCCATTAGCTTCATCTTGGTACAGAAATTGATTTAGAGAGTTCATATACAGAGAACTTAATGTGTTCCGTAATATATCCATTTTTTTCTGACATTAGGGCAACATAGAAATGGTTCTAAGACTAAACTGGAGTAATTAAGGAGAGAGGGAGTCCTTTCTCCAGTACATGAAGGATTCTGTCCCCCACAGATAATACTGTGAATCTTTCCCTGACAGTCATGGCCTGGGTGTAACCTGGCTTCCCAAGGATGCAGCTTTCCTAGCTCCCAGTTGAAAGAAGCCCTAACCTATCCTGAAAGACATGTTGAACACCAAAAAGAATAGGAAACAGAAATAATCTTGCCTGCTCTTTCATTCCTGTAATTTTTCCAAATTCCAGCACTGTCTTCAGTTCTCAAATCTATTGATTTTCTGCACCAATCATTATCTTGTCCATCCAGGCAGAGATTACTCTTGAGAAAAGAGGAGTGAAAAGATGGCCTGTAATTGAAGACAGCTGCCTCCGTAGCCCCTCAGGTGCTGCAAACTTCAGTCAACATCCCTAGTTAGATATTAGATTTTAATGGGCCTGGACAGCAATGAGAAGTGTGGATATGGATATTAGGTGAGGTCATTAGTCCTCTTTTCCTGCAGGGTTCAGCTTCATGATCAGTTACAGAATCACTCCTGAGGTACATCACAGGATTCAGCCTGCAAATGGTAAGAAAAAGCTTTGGACCTACACTGTGCCAGAC